CAGTCGCATAAGCATACTCTTTCGGAGCTCAGGCGATTTGGCTTACTTCCTTGCCTCTGAGGTTCCAGGCTTACTCTTTTCCTTTGCCTGCGTCTCTCCGCATGGGCTGGAATTCGCTTGGTACTGTGCTTCTTGTTTGGGCTGGCCTGAGTGGCGCCTTTCTATACAAGGGGCCGTCTGGACCGTCGGGGATGCACGCTCAATGAATTATCCTCGCCTCCTGCCTCGTCCTCTCTCTCTTCCGCGCTCTTCCTCCTCTTGTCGCCCGGTCTGTTTACTCTTGGTTCTGCCAGGGTGTTGAAGCAGCTGTTGTGCGTGACAGCCGATTTTGCTTACCACGGTGCCCACTCCTTCGCCAGCGCGCCTCCCCCTCCTTCTCCTCCTACTCTTCCCTCTCTGTCTGCCCTTTGGCCGCATTTTCTGTGGCCGCACATTCAATGAGCAAGCTCCTGGACTCCACGTTTGCTTGGATGAGCTGCGTTGTCATTTCAGGAGGAAATGGGTTTTCGCAGCTCCGCGCGTATTGCTTGTATCTGCGCCAGGCTCCCCTGGTGCGCTCCACGCTCCAGGGATGGGGCTCCATCGCCAATCCAAGACCGCACGGACCTCCGAACACTGATACGCTGATACAGACTGTTCCCCTAAACGCTGTTTGCACTTAGGGGTTCTCAGTTCTTTTCTAACGAGTTGGGTCTGCCCGTCGCTATGGCGGCTGTGTGGTCGCCGTCGCCGCCCCGTCGCCGCCTCGTCGCCGCCCGTCTTCTGGGCCTGCCCGTCGGTCTGGCGGCTACATGGTCGCCGTCGCCGCCCCGTCGCTCTGGGCCTGCCCCTCGGTCCTGTGTGGTCGCCGTGGCCCCCCCGTCGCCGTCTGGTCCCGCGCAGCTTTGCGCTGCGTGGCGTCAACGACTTTGCATGTGTCCATTGATGTGCACTGCTTTCTTTGCGATGCGTCGCGCTGCTTTTCATGTCTCTGTGCTGCTTTGCATTGGTTTGCGTTGCTTTGCATTGCTTCGCGTTGCCCTGCATTGCGTTGCCTTGCGTTGCGTTGCCTTGCACAACGCCGACTGCACAGCATGGATTGCACCACCCAGATTGCACCACATGAGTGCGCCACCTAGACCGCACCGCATAGAGTGCAAGAATGTATTGTTTCGGCTCCTTCTCCTTTTCCTCGTCGCTCTTGGGGCCTCCTGGGCACCTCTTGGGGCCCTCTAGGGGCGCTCTTGGGAGCCTTGGGAGCCTGGGGGTGCCCCATCATTTCGGCGTGGTGTTTAGCTCGGGGGTTCCCGCCACGCCCCCAGCGCAGCAAGAGCGACTTCGCCGCACTGCCTTGTAATGTACCGGTGGCTTCGGCCCCCGTCGGCCGCGGATTGTCGGTTGCTCGAGGCGGCCGCCGACGATTTGGGGATTGGGATGCTGCCGGTGCCCTGACCCCTGGCTGGCAGGCTCGGCCTCGGCGCCCCTCCCAAGCCCGCCGGCGACGACGACGACGCGGACGGGGCCTGCCAGGCGCTTGGCTCGTGGCACGCCCGCGCCGAGGCCGCGTTCCAGGCACTCCCAAAAGGCACCCAAGACGGTCCACGAGGGCTGCGAGACGGCCCCAGAGCGTTCAAAACGCCCAAGATGGCCCCAAGTTGGCCCAATAGGTCCCCCAAGACGGCCCAAGAGAGCTCCGAACGTCTTCGCGTCGGCACGACGCCCGCAGCTGGGCGGAGCCGTCGGACGCCTGTGTCGTGAACGCGACGTGGACCTACTCATGCAGCGGCACCGGCGCGCCTGCTTTAAGATAGAGGTAGACGGCGAGATGATCGTGCCGAAGAACGAGGAGGGCAATTGCATGAGAGACTCCAACGCGGCCGTCGTGTTCCAGGATGCCTGTACGGTGCCGGTACGCCACTGGCAGCAACTGCACCACCAATGAGCATCTGGCGTGCTACCCGCTCTCCGACGAGCTGGTGGACGTCTCCTAGCGAGTCTTCGCCAATGGCGTCAACGAGACCCACCGCGCCGCTGATCCAAGGCGCGCGCGTGACGCCATCATGCACTCAGACAAACAATTTGACGCAGCACTACGTCGACTGGGAGTGGCACAGAGCCAAGGCAAGAAGGCGGTGGTCCCACACTATGTAGGTCCAGGGGCGAATGCACACAATCGACGCGTCTTCTACGGCATGATGGACGGCGACATCCCAGGTAAGATCATGAAGGGGGTGACGTCCTCGGCTCCATCTTGATGCGCAGCGGCATCCTCGGGCCCGAGGTCGAGGCGCGGTGCGCTGCAGCGCGGAGACTGCGGTACTACGTGAAGAAGTTCTGGGCGGAATGAAAGCAGTGGGAGATCAAGAAGATCGCCTTCAGGAGCATGGTGATGGGGGCCGCCACTTCTAGGATAACAGGCCTGGTACACAGCGCGGCGCAGACGGACAAGCTGGATAGGCATTGTCTCAAGTTCGGACGATTACGACTTGGTGGGAATGCAGTCCGCGTAACGGTTGACGACGGACGCGGAGGAGAATGCGAGGTCATCCGCGCACCACTTGCACAACGTTTATGGTTGAGATTGGGACTGGCACCGGCGGCAGTGGGGCTACGCGCGCAACGATTCAAGAAGTGGCAGCCTACATCACGACGCCCACATAGGCATAAGCAGCAGATGGCGGCTGTCTTTGGTGACATTGAGATGGACACGGCGAAGGAGTCCGAGTACACTTGTTAGCCCGCGGATGCGATGGCACTGCCAAGCACGGGAGCCACCCACCTGTGGGCCATGCAGTTCAAGGAGGATATCGTCTAGTCACAGAGGAGGGAGCGCAACTACTCGACCTGATCGACGGGGACTACATGTGTTTGTTCAGCACCAAGAGGGACGCCAGCGAAGCCTCCAACCTGAAGGGTCTACGTCAATTCCGCAGCGAGTGGCTCACGAGGGCGCGGGACAACCCGCCCCCGCAGCAAGTGTCTGAGCAGGGCGAGCGCGCCGACGGAGACTGCGAGTGCGAGCTGCGCGATGGGGGCGGTCTGCCGTGCCAAAAGCGCCCCCTTGCCAAGAGAGGCCTTCTTGGCCATCAGCGCCAGGCGGAGGGGGGGCAGCATGGGGGGCAGAAGACGGCGGAGCGGACCGCGATGACGAATCAATGCGTGGCACGTAGAAGCGCACTCAAAGGCAGACAGGCAGCAGTCAGACACTTACAGCACGCATGCGAGTACGGACTATACCGAGCCGATGCCTCTTCATGCAAGCACCCAGTGATCGAGCCCCTGGAAAGGTCCAGCCCCTTGCGCCCTGATCTGGAGACATTCGAAGGGTTCGAGGAGTTGCAAGCACATGTGGCCACGCACCTTCCAAGGCCGCTGCCAGAGCTCAAGTGGGACATCACATTGCCCACCTACGCGCGGGGACACGGGGGGCTCTACGACCAGACCCCAGAGGCCAACAAGGATACCGCGAAGGAAGGAGCCATCGGCAGGAGGCGCCGACGCGACGAAGGAGCGAACGAAACAAGAGCGGAGCGGCGGAACAAGACGAGGGGTCCAACGCCAAAACAACAGCGGGGCGATGTTGGAGGGGGTCGGCGGCGACGGCTTGGAGAAGACGGACGTAGAGCAGCTCCGAACATTCGTGGCCGTCCTGGCGAAGATGGCTCTCGACCTGGCGATGCGGACGCGGCAGGAGGAGGCGATCGCGCTCGCGACGATGGCCATCGGCGCGAACAGGGAGCCAGTGGCGAAGGGGCGCGTGAAGGCGAAGGCCTGTTTCAAGAAGGCGCTGGAGATACGGCAGCGCAACAAGGAAGACGAAACCGAGAGCAAGCTGGACGCGATCAGCTGCGCGGCCATGGGAGGTATCTTCGAGAGCTACGATGCGCAGGGCAACGCAGATGGCCAGAAGCACGCGAAGGGCCAGGAGACCCTGGAAGCGAGGTTCGCAGACATGACACCGAAAGTGGCAGTCAAACTTTTCTCGCGGTTGAAAGTGCACGCCACATTCAAAGAGAAGGAAGCGCGGATGACCAATCTCGGCATGATGCAGCCATCGTACGCTGGCTTAGAGCAGCTGGAGGCCACGAACAAGAACGAAGCGACCCCAGGGTCGCATCGGGAGCGCATCCTGAAGACGTACCTGGACGATGTAGAAGACAACGCGGCGTGGCAGGCCGTACCACAATATAAAGAGACGCGAGGAAAGCAACGCCAGAAAAGGACAGCAGCCACATCGCCACCGACGGCAACGGCGCCCAGGGCAGACGCGACAGCCAGCGCCACAGTGAGATGAGCCGCCACTGCTCGCCTGCCGCAGCGACTGGCGCCAAGCTCGGCGTCGCACATGCTAATCCTCTCTCATCTCCGATGCCTTCCCCCCGCAGAATCCGAATCAACGTGGAGCCCGTCCCCCCCCCCCCTCCCACTCCCAGAGAAATCCAGGGGCATTGTCGGAATCTTGGGTGGGGGGACGCGCTCAGCAACTCCATCGCCAGTGCAGAGATAGGGGCGGAACCCCCCTTGCTGCTGCCTGCCTGGTGCTTGTGGCACTTTCCCCCCTCCTTTCCATCTCGCTCCTCGCTGCCTCCTCGCTCTGCGTGCTGCTGCGCGGCTCTTGTCTCGCTGGCGGGGGGTCGTTGTCGGTTTTTCGGGGGTTTGAAACCCACGGAACCTACTGGGTGGGCTGGAGGCCCAAAATCTCGGCTATAGGCCGTTCTTAGGGTGGCTTCAGACCAGCTCAGAAAATTCGCCCCGAGAGGAGTTAGTGGTAGTAGTCCTCCTCCTCCTCCTCCTCCTCCTCCTCCTTCCTCCTTCTCCTCCTCCTCCTCCTCCTCCTCCTCCTCCTCCTCCTCCTCCCCCTCCTCCTCCTCGTTCCCTTACTCCTCTTCCTCCTCCTCCTCCTCCTCCTCCTCCTCCTCCTCCTCCTCCTCCTCCACCCCTGGCGACCGGCGAGGGGCGGCGGAAAACGACGGGCGACGGGCGGAGAGCGGCGACGCCGCCGGCGTCGGGGGCGGTGGCAGGTTCGCGGCAGCGGGCGGCTCGCGGAGCTCGGGAACGCGGGCGGTTTCATGGGCCACGCGCGGGCCTCGGCCGCGCCGCGCGGGCGGCGCGATGCCTCCCAGGGCCCGCGTGGGTGCGGTGGATCCGGTTCGGTACGGAGACGGTGCTCGTGTCTAGACAAATCACGACTGTCAGTTTTTGGCGGGTTTCGCCTCGGGACCGTCCAAACGCGACTTGGGATGGGGAGCCCGTCTCGGGGAATGGGTCAAGACCTCTGGGGGCCGACACGAAAAAGTCATGACGTCAGGGGTCTGGGTTTCGGGGCCCGCGTGGGTCCAGTCGATCCAGCTCGATACAGTGGGCACCTCCAGTTGGCGCCGTCCACTTTGTTCGCGTCACGAGGGCTCTGCATTGAAGCGGCGATTCTGGCCAACACGGGGTCACACAGCTTCGCGGGGTCACGGGGCCACTTCGGAGTTACACCAGACCGTTCGGTTCCTGGGGGCTTTTCCCGAGGGCTCCCGAGAGGGGTCTCACACAGCATGCCCGCCAACGTGACTGTCGCACTTTCGAAGTGCTACCAAAAAATGGACGCGGACAAAATCAGAAACTAGCCGGCTAGCAGGTGCCCCACGAAGGTTTCTAACCCCCTGATGGCCCACACAGACATGGGGGGGCACCTCAGGAAGCGGAAAGCTCGACGACTGAAGTTGCCCCTGGGTTTCTGATAGCAGGATTCCTGTTCGTGTGTTTATTGTACCCCCCCTTCCGGCGTTTCCGAAGGTTCTCGTTGGTTTTGAAAGATTATCTCGCCTCGCGATGCCTTCCAGCAGCTGCGCTTCGTCGAGGGTGTTCTGGGGTCGCCCGAATCGCCCCGACCGGCCGCGAGGCGTGAGCTATGACCCGAAGGCCAGGCCTCTTCGCGTCGTGAAGACATTGCGAATGGGGAGGTTTTGGGCCATCGGCAGCCTCCCGAGGCCTTGGCCGGGCCCCCTGGGTCCGTCAAAAACGACTCGGGCTGACAACGCCGGTCCCTGGGGAAGGGCCCAGACCTCGGGAAACCCACGTTTTGAACAAAATCACGACGTCGGAGGTCTTGACTTCGTTTCAATCCGATCGATTCGATTCGAGGCCGATTCCGGCCGGCCCGATCCGACCCGTTTCCGATGTTCTGGCGATCCGATGCGGCCCGATGATTCGAATGGCGCTGTTGTGCATCCTGACACCGCCGATCCGGTTCGGTTTCGGCTCCATGCTGCGAAGAAGAACAAGTGCAGAAGCAAAAACATGCTCTTTCGGAGGTCGGCGCGGAACATCGCTGGCGGCGCCGCCAAGAGGGTACATCGCAGATTCATGAGATCCGTCTGGAGTTCCGACTTCTTCATGTCTTTGCAGCCCGATCCAACACACATTTCAATGCGATCCGATCCCGTGCCTCGCTGCTGACTGATACTGGCCACTCGGCGCGCCTCTCTCTCTCTCTCTTTCGCGAGGAGGTCGCGCTAAGGAGGAGGCCCGCTGCGCAGAGATGGGAGAAGCGGAAGATCAGGGGGGGAAGAGTTACCGATACCGGTGTACTCGCCCAGTTTTCGACCTTGGAGTCCCCTGGGTCCTGGGAGGCCCTCGTCGCCACCGCTGGAGTTGCCTCAGGACGCACCTCAGGAGAGGTCCAGGAAGGAGCGGTTCCAGGACTTTCTGGTGCCCCCAGAAGCCCATACGAGAGGACGAAGCAGAAAAGACGGGACGGAGCAGCGGTATCAGTTTTTGTTTGGTTTCCCCAGAAGCCCATCAGACAGAGAGGAGGAAGCAGACAAGACGGGACGGCGGAGGGGCGGATAGAGGTGCGCGGGCGAAGGTGGCGGAGCAGGACGATTCAAAATGTCCCAACAGCTGCACGGATGAGGGGCGGCCCCTTTTCAATATGGGTTGGGGGGCTCTCGTTTGAGTAGTTGTTTCGTCTTGCGAAGTTTAGCGCTTAGCAGTGCACACCATCGATGCATGTGGATGCTTTTCGCATTTGTAACACGTGTATTCCCCAGCCCTCCTGTGGGTTCTCGTTTTGAACAGAGCACTGGTCTCCGTGTGGGGGGTGCCACAAGCGCAACTGTCGCCACTCCCGTTGGCCCCTCGGAGGTCCGGCAGAGTAGTTTCTGACGCACATCCAGGTTAGACCTCATTGCTCCCTGGTGGGCTGCGAACTGCGCAAATGTCGCAACTTTCGCGGGTTCCTTGGAGGTCCAGAAGAGTGGTGTCTTACGCACACTCAGACTAGACCTCGCGGCTCCGTGGGGGCTGCGAACTGCTCACCCGTCGCCACTTCCTCGGGCTCCTCGGAGGTTGGTCGAGTGGTGCCCTACGCGCACTCAAACCATATCTCGCGGATCCTTGAGGGCTGCGAGGTGCGCAATTGTCGCCATCTCCAGGGGCTCTTGGGAGGTCCAGCGGAGTGGTGTCTTACGCACACTCAGACTAGACCACGCGGCTCCCAGGGGAGCTGCGAACTGCGCAACCGTCGCAACTTCCTCGGGCTCCTCGGAGGTTGGCCGAGTAGTGTCATACTTGCACCCACATCAGAACTCGCGGTTCTCGGGGGCTGCGAGGTGCGCAGTTGTCGCCATGTCCAAGGGCTCCTTGGATGCCCAGCGGAGTGGAGTCTCACGCGCACCCAGAGTAGACTTCGCGGCTTCCTGGTGGCTGCGAACTGCGCAAACGTCGCCTCTTTGGTGGGTTCTTGGGAGGTCCAGCAGAATGATGTCTTGTGCACACCACACCCAGACTAGGGCTTCCTCTCCTCGGGGAGTGCGAGATACGCAACTGTCGCCACTTCCAGGGTTTCCTGGCAGGTCCAGCGGGGTGGTATCTTACGCGCACCCAGACTAGACCTCGCGGCTCCCTGGGGGGCTGCCACCTTCGGAGGGTTGCGACGCGCGCAACTGTTACCACTTCCGTGGGCTCCTGGGAGGTCCAGCGGAGTGGTGTCTGACGCACCCGGACTGGACCTCGAGGCTCCCCTGAGGGCTGCGAACTGAGCAACCTCCTCCACTTTCGCGGTCTCTTGGGAAGTTGGCCGAGAAACGGTTCCAGACGGGGCTCATGCTTGCGTTGCGTTAGGGTGCAGTCGCTTGCTGGATGATGCGAGCCCACAGGGCCGCCCAGACTCTGCCGCAGGCCCACTACCTCGTGCAGGCAGCTGACGCGTCCTCGCCCCAGCTGTTGGCGGACCTGGCTGCGCAGCTGTTGAGTCAGGTCAACCCAGGCATGACTGGCGGCATGCGCGGGACGCTCCCGCTGCACTTGGGCCTGCGATTTTGACTGCTGGAGGACCTGGACCTCAAGCGGAAGATGGTCAAGAGCGCCGAAGGCGAGATCGTGCACGCGGCCATCAACTTCCGTGACGAGGGGAAGTCGAACGCGCGATGGCCGAGAACCGCACCGCGTACATGCGCTACTTGCCCTTCGGCGTTTGGGCCTGCATGGACAAGTACGGGGCCGCGAGTTTCCGCGACTGGCTGGCAGAGCACGCAGAAAGGGGGTCAATGTCTCGAACGCGGAGCGGCTGGTCCTCATCGAGCCCCAGACGTCGAGTCTCTTTGATTTCCGCAGGCGCAGTGTGACGCGCACAGGCTTGCAGATCCCCTCGCCGAGGTTCTCACGTCGACCGCTTGCCGGGGCGTCATTGTCGACGTTGCGTATTTAGGTTGCGGACGATTTGGACGCGTTCTGGCTCCACTTGTATGTCGTGCTCTCCAGGGCGACGACGCCACACAACCTGCTCAAGATCCGCCATCCAGGCTTGGATTTTGTTGTCCCGATGGCCGCCGGCGGACATGGCCGCGCCCCTCCGGACAATCGGTGCCCGCGCGGACCTCTGTAGGAAAGCGGCTACCACGTTAGCGCGCGAGTTCGGCCTCGCCGAGTTCTTGCATGAGTGAAGACCGCGCCTGCGAGCGGTTGCAGCGTTGATGGCGCGGGCGGCGCTTGCAACAAACGGTGCCAGTCACACACTACACGAAGCAAGGGCCTCCGTAGTGCGTGGCGCCGCCCCGTCACTTAGCGCGCGGCGCCGTCCCATCGCAGATTGCAGCGTTCTTGGACCTCGAGCAGCGCTTGGCGTTTTTTTCGGTCGCATCGCGCACGCCGCTGCTGGGCGCGCGACTGTAGCCCACGGCGCTGTGGAACAGTCACTCGTAACTTCTCCAGTTCTCCATTCCCCGTATGTTTCCGACCTCCGTGGTCGTTGATCATTTGTTTGCCCTTGGTCGCCTTTCCTGCATATGATATGAGTTGCAACAGTATTGCCACGAGGACCGACGTTACCCGGCGAACCTTTTCTGGGGTACGTCGGATCCCTAAATTTGTGCACTTGTCACGGAGTCCCTTGGGTATAGTCATCTCATGTTAATGCAGAGTCAGGTACGCCCCCCGGTTAATCAGGTGGTTTTGCGTGAGTTACCGCGGCCCGACATTCACGCGTGCGCACTAATGATACAGACGGAGGGCTGCATCTGATTTGGAGCTCGACGTTGCGTGACGATGCCGCGAAATTGATGAGAACGAACCGTTTTTTTTGATCGAGTTGGAACACGGGTTGCTATCAAGTCGCAATTGGATGGCAGTCCATTCGTTCTTCGTGTATGTGTTCGCCACCTTGGACTGTTGTTCGCTTGGGAAATATCCATTCTGCCGTGGGCTGTCGTTAAAACGTGGGCGGGCCGTTGATTTCGAGCCAAGCTATCGTGGCCAACGGGGCTCACACACGTAACCCTCGTACTTGAATCATGTGCTTGACGACGTGCGATCTTGCAAGGCCTCTCGGGGGGACCCATGACGGGAGGTTCAATGTCAGGACGGATGACTCCAGGGAGTCAGGTCTCTCTTCCTCCTCGTCATCCTCCGTGCCTCTTTTCTCTGATCCGCCTCCTCCGCGGCTTTCCTTTTCTCATCCGCCACCCTCGCCCGTTCCTTTTCCTTCTCGCATCCTTCCTCCAGCCTCTATCTTCATTATGGGTCGTCGCGTTCATGCGTACGGACATGGGCGCCTATAAGTAGATGGCAGCATCTGAAGCGGAGTTCCTCCCCCTGGTGTTGTTCGCAGTATGTGTAGTAATTGGGTGGCCGAGCTGAGATTTCCTCCTTCTCGCACGTCTTCCGGAGACCTTACACCTCCGCCCACGCCCCACGAGTTCACAGGCAGGCCCTGCGGTCACTCAGCCACGCGCGAGCACATTTGGCAATCGAGAACTTTGCCCGCTTCCGCACGAGGGTCAAGAGCCAGCTCGGCTTCGGCGGTGTGCCTTCCTGTTCTTTGCGCTTGGGCTCTCCGCCCTGCGATGCTCTTCGCTCTGGGTAGCTCCATTGGCCCTTGGGCCCTCTGCGATGGGGCCCGTGCCCTTTACCCATGCCGGGTTGCTCGCAGTCCGATCCGATCGGGTCCTAAAGCTTGGGCTCTGAGCTCGAGGCGATCCGATCCGACTCGAACCGATTGCCTCTGCGACCTGCACACGCCGATCGCAGTCCGCGATCCCGAGCGAGACCGTTCCCGATCCGATGCCGTGCCGATTCAAGCGCGATCCCAGCTTTAGGTCCTGCAAGCGTTTTCGTGGCCATGGTTCGCTTGTGCCATTTTCCTGAACTGTTTGTGACAGCCACGAGGGAGGACAAGGACCCCCAGAGGACGAGACTGGCCCACAAGGTTCCGTCGTGTTCTTCTTCCGCGACTCGAGAAGGTCAGGCTCTCGGGGCGTCACGCGGGCTTCCGCCCTGCGGCCGATCGCGACGATCTGACCACCTCCGGAACAGTTTCGGTGATGCGGAGTTGCTGGAAGGCGTTCAGAGGCGAGGGAACCTCGAGAAAACGACTTCCGAATACCCTCTTCGTCCACTCTCTTCGCCGCCCCCTCCCGAGACATCCGCCAACACGAGCTCTTCCGATCCACAGACCAGAGGTCGTCTCGACCGCCTCACTGGGGATAGATTCGCGTTGCGGATCCATTTTTGAGTTGCTTGGGGCCGCAAGCGGTCCCAAAGGGCCGAAATCAAATTACAGACGCGGGCTGAAAAGTAACATCGTCGGAGGCTTGGGTCGTCCAAGGTGTTAATGTCAGCTTGTGATTAACAAAAGGCCAGACCCCACCCCGGGGCCCCCGGGCTGAGGGTTAGACCCCGCGGGGCGCGATATTTTTTTTGTCAATCACGCGCGCCAGGGGGAAGGAGGAGAGAGGAGGGGGAGGGGGGAGAAGGAGGAGGAGGAGGACGAGAAAGAGGAGGAGGAGAGGGAGGAGGAGGAGGAGGAGGAGGAGGAGGAGGAGGAGGAGGAAAAGGGAAGGGGGGATTGCAAAGCCTGCTGCGCGCAGCTGGTTTCGGTCGCCCCGCCGAAGGGCCAGTCCTCGAAGGCGCTTGGAACATCGGCGATGTGAGCTGGTTGGCAAATCTCCCCTGTGCTGCGCCCCACTTTCGTCCAGCCCGCCTTGCCCGCAGGCCCGCATCGGTTCGACAGAAAGAGGGGTGCCCTGGCTCGCCCTTGCCTCCAAACGCCGCCCCCCTGCCCCTGTTGGCGGCCTGGCGTCGGCGCTAATCACAGGCGCCGCCCCGTTGATTGTCAATCTGGCGGGCGCCACCCCGCGATTCGCCCGAGCAGGGGAACTATTTTCTAAAACACGCGATCCCCACGGATGTGTTAATCACACGCTGACATTACTTTGAAAGGGTTCATGTGGAACTCATGTCGCCGTCACCCCCGGCGCGCGAGGAACTGAGGCCGTGCGTCTCGTGCACCGATTCCGGCGAATCAGACGGAATCCGGCGCAGAGTCTGAAATCGGCGCCCTCGCTCCAGACATCTTCGCAAATGTGGTCCCAGGGCAGGGTCGACGGCGTCACGGCGAAGCGCATTCCTCATCTCACAGGAAGTCCTGATCACCGGAGGAGAGGCAGGAACCACAGCCACCGATAATGAACCCATCGGCGGGGACCGACCCCTGGACGTTGGCACGCCTACGATTCGTGCAGTACTGGATGGCGCTCCGTCGTGCCACCGCCGTAGGCCTCTCCCTAATGTGTTCTCGGTTGCGATGGTCCCTCTTTATCCCCTGACGCGCAGAGACGGATTCAGTCAAAGCCGCAGGCTCGCCGCGCCGTCCTGCTCTCTCTGCGACTGCCCCCTTGGGCGGCGGCGTCCAGCACGCCCACGCACTCCGCAGCACTGGGCGGCGGTGACTGCCAAGCAATGCACAGCACTGACCAGGCGTGTCCAGTTGACTCTTGGGCGGGTCGTGGAAGATCCAGAGCGGGACGAGGGATTTTTCTGTCGAGATCAACTACGGAGCGGCCATCGAAAGGCCCGGAACCGGCCCCACCGAGGTTATGTTGGTCACTGGCGCCCCCATCGATGCTCTTCCTCCTCCTCCTCCTCCTCCTCCTCGTCCTCCTCCTCCTCCTCTTGTGCCTCCTCCTCTTCCTCAATCCTCGATCCTCCCCCTCCTCCATTTCCTCCTCCTCCTCCTCCTCGATCCTTCCTCTCCGCCTCCCCCTCGATTCCCCTCTTCCTCGATTCCTCCTCGGTCCTTTTCGGTCCTTTCTCGATCCTCCGTCTGCCCACGAGCCGCGACCTGGCCGAGGTCCTGGTGGTCACTGGCGCCCCGCACGGCGTGGCGCGCGGCTCCCGCGCCGCGGCCGAGCTCGCGGCCCGCCCGCCGCCGCTCTCTCTCGCGCGAGCGGCGCGCGCCCTGGCCTCGCGCCTGGCAGCTCCTCCTCCTCCTCCTCCTCCTCCTCCTCCTCCTCCTCCTCCTCCTCCTCCGCCTCCTCCTCCTCCCCCCCCTCCTCCTCCATCTTTTAATTCCTCCCTGTCGCACCCAGAGGCCGGTCGGCAAGGCGGGCTGGGCGTTTCGGGTGGAGGGCGCTCCGCCTTCGAAATGCGGTTCTCGCCTCAGAGCCTTGCACATTCCTCTAGCTTGCAGGAGCTTCACGGATAAAAGGGACCCGCTTTCAAAATGTGGTTCTCGCCTCACGGGTGGAGAGCGGTCCGTTTTCAAATATGGTTCTCGCCGTAGCGCCGCGCTCATCCGTTGCCAAATGTTGCAAGAGCTGCACGGATGGAGGGCTGCGCGTTTTTCAAATTGCTGTTCTCGCCTCAGCGCCGCGCGCATTCGTTTTCAAAGTTTGCACGATTTCCACGGACGGAGGGCGGCCCGCTCTCGAATTGCGCCTTGCGTTCTAGCGCCGCGCTCCTTTTTTTGTCGGCTCAAGGGGTTTGCGGGAGCTTCACAACTGGAGTGCGGCTCCTTCTCAACGTGTGGTCAGCGTGTGCCTCTCGCTGCAGCGCCCGCGCACATACGTTCTCAGAGTTTGCGGCAGTTGCAAGGTGTCTCATGGCTTACGTCCCCGAAGTGATGTTTTCCCACGATGTCGGGATGCCAGGGCGCAGCAGTCACGTTGATTCGCGGTGTTGAAGTGCCAGGACTGGTGGTCTGGCGCGGTCGAGCATCGTCAAAACGCAGCAGCAACGGTGATTCGCGGCGCCAGTGTCCCGGCGATAGTGTCCTGGCAAAGTTTCGGATTTTCAAACGGTTGTCTTCCAACGGGCCAGTTCTCTCGGTATTAAAGCATCCGTCTGGGGGCCTGTGAAGAGGGAATTTGGAGGGAGGGTTTATTGCAAGATCGTTGGTGAGTCTTGCATTTTTGACGCTTCGCGTATCCCCGCCATCCCCATCCCCGCCGCCATTTAGGGTTATCTGTCCCTTGCATCACCTCCAATGAGGGTCATTTTGTTCCTCGCACGTGCACTCGCCTTTGCGGCTTTAGCGCTGCTTTGGCCAATTATCTACGGCATGTGCCCCAGCCGTTTTTCCCGCTTCTTGACCCTTGTCCTGGAGCCGCCAACCAAAAAGTATCCCCGCCAGCCCATCCAGAAACGATGCCCATGAGAGCTGACGGGGGGAGAGGAAGAGATACGCATAGTCAAACAGCGAGGGAGGCCCGCCTAGACGGCGTGTTGGGGCCATCTCTGTGCCCGCGTGGGGGGGGGGGGGGGGGCGAAGATGAGGAGGAGGAGGAGGAGGAGGAGAAGGAGGAGGTGGAGAAGAGGAGAGGAGAGAGGAGGCAAGAGGAGCAAGACGAGAAAAATGAGGGCGAGGATGAGAGGACGAGGACTACGAGAGTGAGGAGGAGGAGGAGGAGGAGGAGGAGGAGGAGGAGGAGAAAATGGAGAGGGATGAGGAGGAGGAGGAGGAGGAGGAGGAGGAGGAGGAGGAGGAGGATTGTGAGGAGGAGGAGGAGGAGGAGGAGGAAGAGGATGAAGAGGAGGAGGAGGAGGAGGAGGAGGAGGAGGAGAATGAGGAGGAGGAGGAGGAAGAGGATGAGGGGGAAGATGAGAACGAGGAGGAGGAGGAGGAATGAGGAGGGGGAGGACGAGGAGGAGGAAAATGACGAGGATGACGAGGACGTGCACGCGAGGAGTGCCTCTTGGAGGCCTCTTGGGGCTTCTTGAGGCGCTCTTGGAGCTCTCTTGGGGGCCTCTTGGGAGCCTTGGAGGGCCTCTTGGTGCCGTCTTGAAGGCGGTCGGTCAAAAGAGGGGGGGTCCTCGATGTCTGCCCTCCCCTCGGAGGCCACGATCATCGTGAGGGGTGTCGCAACGTGGCCCTCCCACTGGCCGAAAAGGGACCCTCTGACACATCGGTCCCCCTCCCCCGAAAAACCCAGGGAGGGGAGGGCAAGAGATCCCCTCCCCGAATGGAAGAGGGGTTGTGGAAGGAAAGCGAGATCACCCTTACGACCACCTGTCGCCCAAAGGGCTGGTGGGATTTACAGTGGTCCTCGTCCTCCTCCTCGGCCGCCTTGCGCGGGCTCGGCTTCGCGGGGCTGCCAGGCACGGAGGCCCGTCCTTCGCCGCCCTGGTGCGATCTGCTGCCGTCGCTGTGCAGGTGCCGCCGCCGCCTGACCCTGGTGCTGTCGTCCCGCCGTCGTCGGTCGTCCTTGGGTCCGCTCGCTCCTCCTCGCTCCTCCTCCTCCTCCTCCCTTTGCCGTTTTGGCTCAAGACCGGTGGCTGTCCCCGACAGCAAGTGGATACCGCTGCTTCGCAGCAGTGCCAAGGCTGTTCAGTTTGAGGCCTCCTGCAAGTTTTCCACGGACATCCTGGCTGCCCCCCCCATATCGTGCATCGCTTCGGAGGCCGTCCATGCAAGTCTGCCGAAGGTCCCGAGCCTCCTCCTAAAGCTCTTCGTGGAAGTGGTCCTGGTCGGTCTGCCAGTTGTGGCGCGCCTGGGGCAGCAGCAGACGCGGACGACATCCCTGGAGATGGAGAATACCACGACCAACTCAATCGCAACATCGTTCGCGAGATGTCCATCATGAACAACATCGTGTCAGCCAAGCAGGAGCTCGAGGCTGCCATGTCCAAGTCGACATGCGACGTGGTCAAGTCAGCAACCGACCCGGTTCAGAAGGCCACGACTGCTCCCGAAATCGTTCTTGATGACGTCCCCAAGGCAGCAACGTCCGCAGTCCGAGGAGCTTTTTGTAGTGGCTTCGTCTCGTTGGAGGCGCGCGTGCAGAAACGTACCAGAAACATGTCCATATGGCGGACATGCGCCTCAGACAGCACGACCAGAGGACCAGCCAGCACGAGCAGGCCATCGGTGACACGCAGCAGCAGCACGAGACCATGCGGCACGGAATGGGTCTGGCGAACCTCCCCCCCCCTCCCCCTCCCCCTCCTTCTCCTCCTCCTCCTCCTCCTCCTCCTCCCGTCCAAGAGTATTGACTGATGCTTCAAGTGAGAGGTTGGCGCGTCCACTTGTTCGTGTGTCTGCGGCCGCGCTGGTGAAACGTGACGATGCGCGTGACTCGTTCCTTCCGTGGCTACAAGATGCTGGGCACGGGAGCCACAAGGATACCCCTACGCCAGATTATTCGCGTTCCAGTTCAAGGGCCCTGTGGGCATTGCAGCTCGCATGGTGCAGCAGGCGCTTGGAGCGCTCAAGGGCCCCAGTGGTTGGATTCGCTTCCCAATGTCCGCCGCCTTTGAAGGGCACGCACAAACGCATCTACACATCCGAGGCGAGGATGGATCCAGAGTTGCCTTGAGGATTGATGTTCGGGGCGCCGGCAGTCGGTGGATATTGATTTATTTTGGGCCTGGGGTGTTTGCAGACAATGCATCTGCGCCAAGCGACATATGTACAAATATATATATATATATATATATACATACACATATGTACTTGTGGCATGTATGTGATTACATGCGCACCTACACACATACATGCATGCATGCACACATACATACATGCATACATGCATACATACATACATACATGCATGCATACATACGTACATACATCCATACACATACACATACATGCATACACACATACATACATACACATACATGCATGTATGCATGCATACAAACATACACACATACATACATCCATCCATACATACATGCATGCATACATACATACATCCATACATACATGCACACATACATACACACATATACAAACATACATACATACGTATATACATACGTACATACGTACATACATACGGACATACATACATACATACATACATACATACATACATACATACATACATACATACATACATACACATACACACATACATACATACATGTATACATACCTGCATACATACATACATACATACATACATACATACATACATACATACATACAGACATACATACATACACATATACATACATGCATATATGCATGCACACACACATATTTACATACATACATACAAACATACATGCATGCACATATGCATACATACATACATACGTACACGCACACGTATGCACATACATACACTCATTAATGCAATCATACGAACACCCATGCATACATACATGCATATATATACTTACATATATATATATATATATATATATATATATATATATATATATATATACGTACATGTATACACACATGCGCACACATATCTATTTCTGCATACATACATACTTCCTTACATACATACATACACACCCATACACACATGCACACATACTCACATGCCCCAGACGCCTCTGGGGGCACTCTTGACCTGCTTTGGGGCTCTCTGCCCCCCCCCCCAGGTGCGTCCACCCCGATCCCGGGGGACCCCCCCCCCCCTGATCTGAATTGACAGGATCGAGCTCCCGGGGGAGGGCTTCGGGGAGGGAAACACAGCTCACACGCCGATGCACCCCAAGGGGTCGGCGAATTGTTGTCTCGACGCGAGAAGGTTTGGTTTTCGGACCTGGGCTCCGGCGGCCGACTGGGGCGATCCAGGCACCCCTGGAGCGCTCTCGACCAGGCACAGCTGCTGGGAGGCATCCCGAGTTTGGAGAAGCGACGAGAAGCGACGAGAAGCGACGAAAATCGCGGCGTAGCTCGAGTCTCGATCGATTAGTCTGGGATGTCAGCATCGTGAGGAGGTCAAGGCCATCCTTGCCTTTGATGGGTATGATGGTAATTAAGTCTGTCGCGTGGTGGTGCCTTGGAAGTAGCGGCTGCCATCCTTGGTCATGGGTTGCAGTGTGAAGGCGGACACGCGATGAACTTCATGCTGGTTCTGATTCCTTTCGCCTCACGGTCTTCATTTCTTCGTTCCGCGCACTTCCCTTCAACGGTCCTTTCAGTTGGAGGCAGCTCGCGGCGTCGTCGAGAAATCAGACGGCCACTATCTGCTCTGATGTCTCACGCTGCGGCGCAGCGTTGCCGCGTTGATGTGCAGTGCTCGAACGTGGAGGCATCATGTCCGTGGCTCGTGCGCAACATCTGGTTCCTTCTCCTCCGCACACCCTCCCCCCCACGCGACCCGCAGGGCGCCTGGCCTGCCGGCGGCGTCTCGGAGCTGTGGCAGCTGCCGGTCGTGGAGAGCACCCGCCGCGAGTCGGGGCTGTACGAGTCCAGCCAGCTGATGTGCGTAGACCGGCGCACCCGGCAGGTCGCGCTCTATAAGAATTTGTTCTGGCTGGTTTTGATGTCGCTTGCTTTGGCTCATGATGTTCCAGCCTAACACTGTAGCCTTGATCACCAGAAAGAGTTTCGAGCACCAAGGAAGTACCAGCACCTGAGGGTTTTCACGTGTCGGGCCCTGGGAGGCGATACTCGTTCGGCACTGTTTCGATATTCATGTGGGTGCTCGAGATTCGTTCTGGGATGCGGTCCTTAAGTACGATGGGAGCAACACAAGCGCTGGCACCCCTCCTCTTCCCCCCCCCCCGCCTGGCCAGGTCAGAGCACCCGCGAAGGCCTGCTCGGTGAGGTGTTCGCTGTGGTTGCTGTCCTCCGCGCCTGGGGCTCTGTCTCGCTCGGGAGGCGAGGGCGAGGACGGTCCTGTGGCCCGTCGGCTCTCCTGGACGACCTTCTTCCTGCTCCTTTGACGAGTGTGCTGAGGAACGCAGAAGCTCACAACTGGTTCTGGCTTGTGTCAAGTGTCGTTGGGACGTGCCTGGCTGAGACAGTCTCGTTTCTGGCAGTGGTCGTCTGTTCAAAAAACGGTGCTCTGTTCATTCGGATGGGTCTCTTTATCATCTGTAAGCGTATCGTGGTAGGACGATCGGAATACCAGGACGACCTGTCCTTACTCAGCGCTGGGGCGACGACGGCGATGGATGCGTTGAAGCAAGCAAGAGCCCATACCTCCTCGCGTCGTGCAGAGATCTCGATGCAAGGTGTTTGGCAGCTTTCGGTGTCCAGGGGCCCTTCCTGGGCCCTGGGACCGTGAGAAAAGATCCGACATGGAAAGCCAGTCCCAGGGAAGAGGTCGAGACCCTTGTGGGGCCCACGATGTGAACAGATGCATCTCGTCGGGAGGTCTGGGAGCAGCGGCAGGAGAGCGCGAGAGGGAAGAGGGATCAATCACGCCACGCCGTTTGCTGGCGTCAGCTCTCGCCTATGTCCCGGCCTGCACTGCGCGCTGGACGTGGGGATGCCGGACATCCGACGTCATGACATTGTTTCACAGCGGGGCTCCCCAGAGAGCTGGACCTCTCCCGGGGACCGGCTTCTCATCCCGAGTCGTCGTTGGACGGCCTTGGCCATCAGCAGAGCGTTCAGGGCCGAAAATTGCCAAGCAAAGCCCGTGTTGATTTCTCCACGACACGAGCGCGACAGGTCTTCAGGCCAGAACTTTGGCCTCCCGCGGCCGATCGGGACAAGCTTGGCACCCAAGGAGCGCTCTCGACGAGGAGCAGCTGCTAGGAAACATCCCGTGGTTGGAACAAGAGCCGAGAGTCGACGAGCATGTACTTGAAAAGCTCGCACCGTGGTCGATTGGTCAGCTGGTCTGGGATTTCTGCATCGCGAGAAGGTCAGGTCATCATCACCCCTCGAGGGTCTGATGTGAATATTGTTGCATGATGGCGCCTCGGAAGTAGCAGATGCCATCTTTGGCAATGGGTTGCATGGAGAAGGCAGGCACGCAGTTGCTGGAAGGCATCCCGAGGCGAGATGGCGAGAAGACCTCTAGGAACCGACGAGCACCATCGAAAACGTCGGTCTTCGTATCACCTGGGACGAGCGGGCGAGAACGGTCTGGCAGTATGATTGCCCACCGACTCAATGTGTCCAACCCCTCCTATGTGTTGGGTCTTCATTGTGAATCCGCAGCGCTGCTCGTCTCCCTTCTCCTCGTCCTCCGTCTTTTCCTCATCCCCACTCCTGCTTTCTTCTTGGCCTCCTCCCCTTCCTTCTTTGACGTTGGTCAGACATGAAGTTCCTCCCCCACCCTCCTCGTCCTGCTTGTCATCTTCCTCCATCCTATTCCTCCTCCCTTCTATTCCTCCTCCTGCTCCTCCTGCTTCTCATCCTATTCTTTCTCCTCTGCCTGCCCTGGGCAATTTCGGTACACCCCTCACGCGCTTCATTTTTGGCACACCCTTCACACATCTCTTGCCCTACAGGGAGCTCCACTGAGGGCTTCAGTGGGTGCGTTCGCATGGCGTCGCTCCCCACCTGTCGGCACACCACTCACACTTGTCCTGCCCCCCGGGAGCTCCACCGAGGGTCTCAGAACGTGCGTTCGCATCACACACACTTCCTCCCTCCCAGGGAGCTCCAGCGTTCGCATGGCGTCGCCCCGCCCACTTTGGCACCCCTCTCACGCATCCCCTGCACCCCCAGGGAGCTTCACCGAGGGCCTCAATTGGTGCGCTCGCATGGCGTCACCCCGCCCATTCTGGCACACCCCTCATGCATGTCCTTCCCCCCACTGGCTGCCCCATGCCCCAGTGAGTGCGTTCGCACGGCGTCGCCCAGCCCATTTCGGCACACCTTTGACACATTTTCTGCCCCCCCAGGGTTTTCCACCGAGGGCCTCAGTGGGTGCGTTTGCATGGCGTCGCCCAACCCATTTCGGCACACCCCTTTCAGATTTTCTGCCCCCCGGGAGCTCCACCGAGGGCGTTCGCATTGCCTCGCCCCGCCCACTTTGGCACCACCCATCACACATTCCCTGCCTCCCAGGGAGCTCCACCGAGGGCTTCAGCGCGTGCGTTTTCATGGCGTCGCCCCGCCCGTATCGGCGCGCCCCTCACACGTGTGCTGCCCCCCAGGGGGCTCCACCAAAGGCCCCAGTGGGTGCGTTAGCATGGTGTCGCCCCGTCCTTTTTGGCACCCCTCACGCGTTTTGTGGCCCTCGCATGTCGTCATGTACCGCGTGCTGTTACGGAGTGCCCGCTTAATGTCCTGAATGGCGTCGCCATCGCAAAATCGAACGATTTGCGCCCCTATGTCATGCCAGACATTTGTCCTGGTCCGCTTCGCGCTTATTGTTATTCTCCCCACCGCGAATCGATCTGCAAGACTGCATGCGTGAATCGGAGACTTCATTCGCGGTCTGACCGTCTCTGGCGAGGTTGTTGGGGACTTCGCGGAGCCTTCAATGGGTTCTCATGTATTGGGCCGTCCTGTGTATAGTTGCTTTTTGTTTGGGTAGGGGTTGTTCTTTTTTGGCTTTTCGATATTACGCTGGCGACATCTTACCTCACGTTAGTTAAGATGCAACTGCTGGGATGCTCAATTCAGAATCGGTGGTGGTCGGAGGTGAGGGGGTGAGATCGAAGTGGAACGGAGAGCCCCCCTACCGGGAAGTCGGTTTTGGTGTCGTGTTCGTGCGTGCCGTGCGTGCGGGCGAGGCGAAGCTGCGTGGGCGGGCGAGAAGAAAGTCTCCTCTGGCTGAGGCGCGGCCGGACCAAGTCATTCCTTTCCGGGGGCCAGTGGCCCTCGGTGTCCCGCTGGTGTCCCGCCTCCGGCTGAGGCGCGGCCGGACTGATTCCTTTCCGGGGGCCGGTGGCCCGCGGTGTCCCGCAGGTGTCCCGCCCGTGTCCCGTCGGTGTCATGATGATGATGATGATGATGATGATGATGATGATGATGATGATGCTGATGCTGATGCCGATGCTGATGCTGCTGCTGCTGCTGCTGCTGATGATGATGATGATGATGTCGATGATGTTGATGATGATGATGGTGATGGTGGTGATGGTGATGATGATGGTGTCCCGCTGATGATGCTGATGTTGACGATTTTGATGATGCTGATGATGGTGATGATGGTGATGATGATTGTGTCCCGATGATGATGATGTGGATGATGATGCTGTTGCTGATGATGACGGTGCCCCGATGATGATGGTGATGATGTTGATGACCCTGACGATGTTGATGATGATGAGATGGTGATGATGACAATGATGATGGTGTCCCGATGATGCTGATGAGGTTGATGATGATGCTGTTGGTGATGATGGTGATGATGATGTTGATGATGATGACGATGATGGTGTCCCGATGATGATGGTGATGTTGATGATGAGGATACTAATGAGGTGATGATGATGATTTAGATGATGGTTGCCCGATGATGGTGATAATGATGCTGATGTTGATGATGATGGTGTCCCGATGATGATGATGATGATGGTTGTGATGATGATGGTTGTGATGATGACGATGCTGGTGTCCCGATGATGATGATGATGATGATGTTGATGATGCTGATGTTGCTGATGATGATGATGGTGCCCCGATGATCATGATGCTTATGATGTTGTTCATGATGAGGATGATGACGATATGATGATGGTGATGGTGGTGTCCCGATGATGATGATGATGATGATGATGATGATGATGATGATGATGATGATGATGATGATGACGGTGTCCCGATGATGTTGATGATGATGTTGATGATGATGGTGCCCCGGTGAAGATGATTGTGATGATGATGTTGATGATGGTAATCAGGTGATGATGATGGTGTCCCGATAGTGATGATGATGATGATGATGATGATGATGATGATGATGATGATGATGATGTTGATGACGTTGATGACGTTGATGTTGATGACGATGATGATGACGTTGGTTGTGAGATCGATAGTGATATCGGTAGTGAGACCGATAGTGAGACCGAATGTGAGATCGATTGTGAGAGTTAGTGAGATCGATACCGAGAGATCGATAGTCAGATCGATTGTGAGATCGATCGAATGAAATAGATCCACTGAGATCGATTGTGAGATCGATCGAATGAAATCGATCGAGCGAGAGCGATAGTGAGATCGATCGTGAGATCGATAGTGAGACCGATCGAGTGAGACGTTGGTTCCCCCCTCCCCCCGAACCTCCTTATCACCCGAAGGGTGGTCGTGTAGGTATTTTTACCCCTGGTCGAAAACTTGCCAACTCTTTCTTCGTCCGCTTTGTCTGGGTTACTCCTGTTGAACCCTGATGAATCCGGCATGATCCAAGATTCAATCTGGCCTAGTCTGGCTCAACGGCCCCTTCATGTTGGCTGACTAGCTGTTTTAATCGTTCTGGCCAAACACTCCCAGGACTATCCTTCTAACGTTGTCGCCAGTGTGGTCGTGGTGCAGGAGCAACAGAAAATCTTCGCACACGCCGGGAAGTGGGGATGCGGCGGCGGCGGCTCCGACGGCGCTGACGGCGACGAACGGCGGCGGCGGCGCCGCCGCCGCCGGGCAGCTGCTGCTGGTGGGCGAGATCGGGCCCACGGGCGAGCTCAGATCAGGCAGTGCCAGGGGGGTGCCACTGAAGGTTGGGGGCCGGGAAAGAAGAAGTTGCATGTGTCTGAGGCGGGGACTTATCCATGACCATCTCCTGGTTGATCGATCCGCAGGCGGCGGATATCCGAATGGAGATAGAGATGAATAAGGATACACATTCACATACATATGATAGATTTCACATAAGCACATTGCACTCATGTGTGTTTACATTCCATACACACATACATATGTACTTGCATATGTTTGAATGTGTGTCTATATGTATGAGTATAGGTGTACGTGTGTATGTGTGGGCCCTGGGGACGCAAATGTATCCATGCCCATTGTTTGCGAGGTCCCCAAACATCGATCCGCATGGATAAACCAGCGCCTCGCAATAAGAGTGTTTCGGGGGAGGTCCGCGCGGATTTGTTGTTTGGGCGTTGGGCCACCCCCTGGCGGTGCCTCCGGCTCCGCAACTGGCGGTGCCTCTTTTGGTCCTGCGCCGACCCAAGAAATATTCGTGGACGTGCGCAAGTCTATGACTATGCAGGTTTCTCTTGTTCCAGGGTCGCCAGCTCCCCCTGAGGATGGAGGGGCGAGGAGCGAATAATAGAACAGGTTCTTGGATGGTCCTGGTCGCTTTGAGGTGGCTCTATAGGGGGGGGGTAAGGGGCGGGTCCTGAGGGGCCATCGTCCTTGAGGAGGTGGCGACCCCCCCCTGCTCGACATACAGCAGCGCCCTGGGGCGATGATCGCCAACTTGAGCTCACAGAGCCGGGAGCCACGGCGGGGCCCCCCTTTCGGGAGCCTTGAGACGGGGGTCAATGCAAACGACGGTCAGCCAGAGCGCCCGATTCTGCAGGATCCTGCAGGGCCAGGGTCGCATTGACCCGGGTTTGGGTGCAGGATCTTGCAGGATCTTGCAGGATCCTTCGCATTGACCTGGGTTTAGATGAAGGATCTTGCAGGAGTCTGCAAGGCCTGACTGACCCGGGTCTGGATCGACCCGGGTCAGAAGATTCCCGACCCTTCTGCAAACGAACCTGCCAATGGCGCATTCTTGGGGTGCGGGGGGGTCCTCCTGGGAGCCCCCTCCTGGGGGCCCCTTGGGATCATCTTCGGGGACCATGGGGGGGCTTCTCTGGGGGCCTCCTTGGGCCCGTGGGGAACTTCTTGGACTGGCCTGGGGCGCTCGTGGCCCCGTCGAAGGCCATCTTGGGGGCATCTCCGGGCCGATCAGGATGCAATCTTGGCGGTATCCGGGACCGTCTTCGGGCTCCCTTCGGGCACTGTTGAGGGCCTCTTGGGCCGTCTTGGAGCCGTCTTGTGGAGCTTCTGTCTGGGGCAATATTTTGGACGTCTTCGAGGCCCCTTTGGCGGTAATGGGCTGTCGGAAGCCCGAAACGGCGCCGCCGCAAAACTTCTTTGCACATTCCTTCGCAACATCAATGAGTTTAGCTTCTTTGGGCTCTCCTGGAGGGCATCCTTGCGCCCTCTTAGCCCTCCTTGGGAGCCTCGTGTGTCGTCTTGAGGCCAGCCTGGGCCGTGCGGGATCATCCAGGGCCCGTCGGAATGCAACAGTAGGTAGTGTTAGGGACACCCTGGAGCCATCTGGGGCCATATTGGAGCCATCTTGGGGCGTTCTTGGGCCATCTTGGAGGCATCGTGGAGGGGGACGAGCACTCCAAACCGAATTTCTGAATGGTTTATTGGGGACCCGCGATCCCCCCAAGTCTAGCTGATCAGCTAGCAAGCAGTTCAAGCAATTCTTTTCGAAAGGTATTGCTAGGCAGTGGGCCCGCAGGGGGCCGGCCGCATTCTTGATTCTTCGCGTATCCCCATCAGCCAGCCTGGCCGTGTTTGCAGCTGCCGCCCTGCAGTGGTGGGATGCACCTCCACGCGGATTGCTCCTGAGTGGTTTAGCCTTCTTGTTCAACCACCTGAGGTTGCCGCTTTTGGCATGCGACACAGGTACGCTGGGCTGCTTGCTCAGCCCCACGCTATGCCGTGCTTTGCTCGGGTGGCTCGTTTACCTTTGGCGCCTGGCGCGACAAGGTACAATTCGTTTGCCTTCCCGGTGGTCTCGCCCCTGGAAAGGTTGCATTTCAGCTGCCTGGCACACCTGGCACCTCTTGCATCTCTGCCTTCAGTCCCCGGCGTCGCTCCTCGGCGTCCCTCGGCGGCAGTTTCGGCGGCCGTTAGTTCGCGCGCTTAGGTAATTAGGTTTGGCTCGTTACGTTGCCCGGGCTGACTTCGGACACCGCCCGCGCTTCCGCTTGCGGCCGCGACGGAACAAAGTACCCCCATCAGCCCAACCAAAAACGATGTCCACGCGAGTTGCATTGATCAGGGATGTGATGCGGGGGACCAGACGGGAAGGGGGGGCGGCGGCCAAACCGAAGATCGGGATCAGCCGTTGCAGGCCCTGGTGTCAACCAGCAATGCGTTCGCGAATCTTTCGATCTGGGAGCCTCTTGGCAGCTTGATTGGGCTCCATTGGAGCCCTCTTTCTGCCATGTCAAAACCTTTGGGGCCCTCTTGGGGCTATCTTGGGAACCACCGTGGTTTTTCTTGGGCCGTCTTGAAGCCATCTTGGGCCACACGCGACCCTCGCAAACCTCGGGCCCGCCCCCGTCCAGATTCTGGATGAGGGGAGCCGGGGGTGGGAAATCACTCCCCGAAGGGGAAGAAGGGAGTCCGAATGGGAAACGCGCTAGACCACCTCAGCCTTACATGGCTGGTGGGATAGGGTTCCGGGCTTGGTCGCGGGCGTCGTTGTCGCCTTCGATCGCGCCGAGCGTCCGCCAGCGCAGCGACCAATGAGCTCCTGCCTCGAATGCCACCCAGAAGCAGTGGTGGCCCCCCGTGGCACCGCCTGGCCAGCACCTGCGACCCAGAGCCCACGGAGCTCTGGCAGTGCCCGGAGGACCCGGCGGCCGGAAGACGCGTGGGCGGAGGCGCAATCCTTCGGACACGTCCGCTCACTCGGGCATGGCCTCCGCCAGCGCCGGGTCCGATCACGCGGGGCGCAGGCAACACCCCGACCTCACGTCGTGACAAAAAGTTGGGGCGGGAGGGTTTTTGGCCGACTTCGGCCTCCAGGGGTCCTCGTCGGTAGGAGTCTGGCCGTCTTCGGCCTCCGGGGGCCTTCGGCAGGCCCTGGGGCCGGACCCCCCGGGAGCCACGTTGTGAAACCTGGGTTCCAGACCTCAGGGGGGTTGGACGTCCGGGCGCTCCCCGCCCCCCTGTCGGGGCACTCGCCGCCACACCCCCTTTCTGTCGGTGGTTCAAGGATGCGGTCCTGAGGGATGGGGTCATCCGAGTGTTTGGGCCACCGAGATTGGAGGAGGAGGAGGAGGAGGAGGAGGAGGGGGAGGAGGAGGAGGAGGAAGGAGGAGGAGGAGGAGGAGGAAGGAGGAGGAGGAGGAAGAAACGGGGAGGACGAGGAGGAGGAGGAGGAGGACGAGGAGGAGGAAGAGGAGGAGGGAGAGGGAGGAGGAGGAGGAGGAGGAGGAGGAGGAGGAGGAGGACGAGGAGGAGGAGGAGGAGGAGGAGGAGGAGGGAGGAAGAGGAGGAGGAGGAGGAGGAGGAGGAGGGAGCAGGGAGGAAGAGGAGGGAGGAGGAAGGTGTGGGCAAGTCCCCCTCCGATCGCCTCGAGGCTGACCCGTGGTCTGGGCACTTCCAGAGAGGGAATCGCCTGCGGCTCGCCCCGCCCTCAGAAGCGAAGGAGGCGGGAAACCGGCGGGAGCAAAACGGCGACAAGTCCACTGCCTAGAGATTGACACCAACACCAATTTCGACTAGACGTAAGAGTGACCTTTCGCCGGAGTGACCTTTGGTGTGGGCACAGATGGGCCCTCAGATGGCTGAAAACGGAGCGGTAGCAGCGGCTTGCGCGCCCAGGTTTGGTTTCCCCGCGGCCCCAAAAAATCCGCGCACCAAAGGTCACTCTTACCCAGGGTCACTCTTGCGTGTAGCCGACAATTTCGGGGTTGTGCATCCACCGAGGGAAGAAGATCCCGATCTCGGCGATGATGGTAATATCCTGGCTTCCAAGGTGAACGAAATATCACCACCGACACCGAAACCTGGGATCATCTTCCCCCTGTGGAGGAGAGACCCATGTGTTGGTGCTGGTGCCCATTCCCAGGCCTCCAACACTGGCGGAAGGCGGCGGAAGTAGCAGTGCTGCGCCAGCATTTGTGGATGCAGGGCGTCTGGAGTCGGGCACGTGGGGCCGACGCCCCCTCCTCCCCGGGGTGTTGCCAGAGGTGTCCCTGGCCCAGGGTGCCCTCAGGACGTCCAGAGAGGCCCCCGCTGCCTCCAGAGCACCCCCTCACGAGGCCCAGAGAGCCCCAGGAGCTGCAAAAGGCGGAGCGACAAGCTGCGGACTCTTTGAGTCAGGGACACTTGTGTTCGGATGCATCTCCCAGGAGTTGAATTCAGCATCGACCCCGGTATATCCGTGGTTGAGAACTGGCCTAATCTGGCACAGTGCCGCCTAATCTGGTTCAATCCCGTTGAATTATGCCAAATCCCCAGATTAATCTGGCCTAACGTGGCGTAATGGCCGTTCTAAGCTAATACCCTTTGGTATTGCGAAAGCCTTGCGGCCAGTGCCGCCGACCCTGAAGGGGAACGACGACAACGGCGGCGGCGGCGACGACGACGACGCTGACGTGGGTCAGAGTCCTCATGGATGCTTCTTGGGTTCGAAGCGCTCTCAGGGGTCTCTGGGGAACAGTTTAGGGGCCTCTTGGGGGGCTTTTGGTCCCTCGTCTGGGCACCCTCTTGGAGCCGTCTTGGGGGCCTCTTGGGCAGTCTTGGTGGCGTCGTGGGCCGTCTTGGACCCCTCTTGGGTCGTTTTGGTTCCCTCCTGGAGCCCTCTTTGACCGTCACGGCCGGGGAGGGATCAAAGGGAAGGTCCTTCGAGTCAATAGCGTCGCTGCCCAATCTCTCTCTGGCTGGCGCGCTTGAGGAGGAGGGCCTGTTAGGGAAGGGGGGCGGGGAGCGGCGGCGGGCCCGACGCTCAAGGAGGAAGGCCCAGGGCAAAGGGGGGGGGGGAGCGGCGACGGGCCCACCGAGAGGGGGGCCGCAGGGAGGGGGGGACGGCAGAGGCGACGCCTGCTTCTACGAGTGACGGAGACGGCGGCTCGAGCGGACAAGCCCCTCGCAGACGCCGACAGGGTCGGCGGAGCTCGAAGCCATCCCAGAAGGTGACTCCTAACCTTTCGCAACCATCGTCTCCCTGACATGCGATGACATGTTCTTGCCAGTGCGGTTTCCCCAGAAGTGCCGACCCTTTTCCCAGGGCCGCCTGTTCATCTCGAGTCGTCTTTTGACGGAGGCCGTGCAAGGGCCCCTGGACCCCGAAAGTTGTCGAAAGCCTCCCGTGGTGTGTTTTTTCACGACGCGAGCACGTATGGGTTCCCATCCCTCAGTCGGCCCCGGGTTTGGCGGGGCTGCCTCGTGGCTAGCGGCGCGGCCACGGCTGATCCGGGTCGGCGCCGACCCGGGGCAGCTCCGAGAGGGCAGCTGCGTCCTGGCGTGCTTGGGCGGTGGTTGACGCATGGGGTCCGCGTGGCCTGCTCGCGGGCGTCGTCGTCGCCGCTGAAAGATCAATTGGTCGTCACCGTCACGATCTTCCGAAGCAACAGAAAGCTTTTTCTAGATACGCCCCGTGTTTGTTTTCTTGTCGTCGTCGTGTTGGTGTGTGTGAGTGTGCGTTTGCTTATTTTTTTTTAAGAAAAGAAAAGAAAAAACGCCGTGGTGTATTAGTGAGTAGGGGGGGGGCGTCGGCGTCCGTGGAAGCCTTCGGCCCGCGGATGTCTGGAGTTCCTGGCTTCGGGCGCGGCCCAAGCTTGCCCCCTTTCGGGGAGCAGACCGGGCCGACTGGCGGGCCCGCCCTTTCGCAGCATCTCTGTCTGGGCGGCCGAGGGCGCACAGCTTGGCACAACACGCAAGCAAGCTGTCTGAAGTTTCGGGGGTCGAGGGCGCGACCTGCGTCGCAACCCGTAGCAGGCAGCAGGCAGTTTCAGGCTCGGCGGCCGAGGTCGCAACCTGGTGGGCAACCTCCCCAGCAGTCCGCTCGAAGAATCGGAGGCCAAATGCGCAACCTGTGGCACAACCCAGCCCATAGCGTAGCTTCCCGCGGCACAATATGTGGCGCAAGCCGTGGCGAAGCAAACCATAAAATCTATGGCGCAAGTTGTGTCACAATGTGTGGGTCAACCGCTAGTTCACCCTGTGCCGCGACTGGCCCAGCCTACGGAGCTCGGATGTCGTGCGAGGCAGGACGGGATGGATGGATGGATGGATGGACGGCGCAATAAAGACCGAGAGGCGAGCACACCAAAAATCATTGGAGGGGCATGAAAACGAGTATCTCTCGGAGGATCGCTTCGCATCCTCCCTTGCCTTGTATCGGGCATGCAAGGTGGCCATTCGTTGTTCGTGGGGGGGGGGCTTCTGTGGCATCCAAGAAGCTTTGGGAACCGACGCGTTGGCCTGGAATATCACAACAGGTCCAATCTCTCAACAGGCAGCACCAAGGACCCGTCGGATACGCATGTTGGGTTGAAGAACTCGTCGGAATTGATTTCGCACGTCCAAGCCCCCGCGCGTTACACATGCCGCCGCAAGCTTGACAGCTATCCCCTGGCTCACAGGGTCTGCTGCTCACGACTAGCTGGACCCGAAGCCCTCAGAATTCCGAGAGCCCCCCCCCCCAAATGTTGCGACCAAGGGATGCCACCGACACTCGCCAGAGATGCCCCGATCTTCGCTGTCCGTCCCTGGCGAGAGGGAGACAGGGGCGCGCGCCTCCACTGCGCCCCGTTCGTGAGCAAGGGAAGAAGCGAGCTCGCGAGCTTCACGCAGGCATGATCTCTCCCCTCATGAGAGGTCCACACGCTGCAAGACTGGGATCAGGTCGCGGATGGCCCTCAATGGCGTTCTTCGCATGCTCGTGAACCTCGCTGTTGGGGAACGCGAAGCGCCGATCACCTCCACGCTTAGGCGCATGCACCTCATCGAGCTCACGGTGAGCCTTCCCAAGGATGGTCGAGAGATGTTCACTTCCAGGCAGCTCGTGCGCAAACCTACGAACTCCAGCAGACTTCGAACCCGGGGCGAGGTGCGTTCACCTGTACTGCTTGGTGGACCAGATCACAGCTTTGCGGTTAGACGCCAGCTGGGCGGGGCGGTGAAGGGGGAGGGGGGAGAGGAGGAGGGGGAGGAGGAGGGGGGGGCCCGCGTCGCAACCTGTGGTGCAACCCGTGGCTCAATCCATGTCACAATTTCTGGCGTAATAGATGAAGGAAGCATCACCTCTGGCGCAACCTATGGTGCAAACGATGGCGCAACCTATGGCGCAGGTTCTGTTGCAAGTTACGTCGCAAGCTGTAACGCAATCGAGGTAACAACTTGCACGGAGCTCAAGAGGAGGGAGGGCGGGGGAGGAAGGAGGGACCCACGGCGTAACCTATGGCTTCTCCTACGATGTAACAGATGGCCAACTTGTGGAGCTCGGCTGGTGGAGGATGGGAGGATGAGGAAGTGAGGAAGAAACCACAGCCCAACCGATGGCCCAACATATGATGCAACTGCTGTCCAACCCGTAGGGCTCGGATGAGGATGGACAGAGGGAGTGAGAAGGGACCCACAACGCAGCCCCTGCCACAACCTATGGTTCTACAGATGGTGCAGATATGCAGTCGCAACCTGTTGCACAATTGCCTGTGCAACCCATCGAGTTCTGGAGGAAGGAGAATCGGGCAGGGAGAAGGGATCCACGGCGCAGCCTCTGGCGCAACCTACGGCTTGATTTCTGAACACCATGTTGCCAAACTGTGGAGCTCGAGGGATGGAGGACGGGGAACGGAGGGAGGACCCACAGGATAACCGCAACCTATGTTTGTCTTCATGGTGCAAGCGATTTGACGCGTGACTTCCTATGGCCTAGTGTTCCAGTGCAGCCGATGGAGCTCGGGAGGATGGAGGATGTGGCTGACGCAATCTCTGGCGCAACCTATGGCTCGGAATGAGATACAATATATGACCAAAGCTTGGAGCGCGGGGGAGGGATGGCGCGGGAGGTGGGAGGGCCCCGCGGCGCAACCTTTGGCGCAACCAATGGCGTTGTATATGGTGCTGGGTATTGAGCCGGAGCCAGTGCATGGCACAACCTATACCGCAGCAGATGAAAGTCGGGAGAGGAGGGTGTACTGAGGGAGGGAGGCAGGGGGAGGGACGAGGAAGTAGAGAGAAATTTGGGGAATCATGAGGGGGATTAGGGGGAGTAGGATGGCGACAGCGACGACGGGGCCGAAGCCTGTGACGAGCACCCAGGCGGGCCTCAGAGTGGCCAGCCCTCATAGATTCGTCGGGCGACACCCGACCTGTGTTCGCCGTCCGAGCCTGAGGGCGTCGGGGCGCCAACCGGCGAGCTGCCGCGCGACTGTTCTGCAGCTCGCCCCTCCGCGAGGAGCTGCGCAGGGACATGCGCGTGGACGTGATGATGCAGGTGCTGGCCGACATGAGGTCGCACCATGGCCAGGCGAACTGGAGCGCAGGCACCGCCTTCCGGGCCATCGTCAAGCCCGCGGCCATGACGGCTAGGCCAGCCAGCGCGGACACGCTGAAGGAGATCCAGTCGTGCTGGGCGAAGGCGCCCATCTGCACCTCCGTCGTGATCGGCTTCTGGCAGAGGTACCTTTCCAGGCTGGCGGGCGCGCGGGACGGTCCGCTGGCGGCCGCCCTGGGCAGCGGGCCAGAGCTGGCACCGGGAGAGTCGGTCCAGTACTGGAGCGCCAGCAGGAGCCAGTGGATCCAGGCTCCGCTGCAGTCTCGGGGGGAGGGTTGGGGGATTTCTCCTCCTCCCCCTTTCCTCTCCCCCTTTCTGCCTCCCGCCTCCTCATCCCTCCCTCCTCCAGCCTCACCTCCACCTCCTCACCTGGGGTTTTAGGGGGCTGTCGGACTGCGCTGGGTCCAGGGAGTGGTGCTCCGCGTCAACCGGGGCGCCGAGGGGGGGGCGCAGAGCTACGACCTCGACGTGAGGTGGGCCGTCCTGCCAGACAGGCTGCGGCGCTGTGAGCAGGACGCCAAGTCCCGGGCCGTTGGCCTCATCTCGGGCAGTGCCACGGGGGGGTCATCACAGTGGGGCCACCAACACCTCCTGAGGATCGAGGTTCCAGGATCGAAGCTCGATGAGGTTTTTGGACGTCTGAGGGTTCTGGAGCGTTCTGGGTCCAGTTCCCAGAGGGACTGGCCCTACCTGGCAGAAGCGGTGGCCCCCCTAGTGGTGTCCCCTCTTGGCGATGCCGGACCATAATGCGCTACATGCCGCTGAAGGCCGACAGGGCGCTGCCAGGCGACCTGCTGAAAAGCATGCGGGAGTGCGGCTGGGTGTCGATCACGCAGGTGCCGCAGATCTTCCGCCCGGTGGTCGTGCCCCACGCTCGGGAGACTACGATCCAGGCCTCCCAGATGGGGTCCGAGCAAATGGCGTCGGAGGATCGCGCCGCATCGCTGATGCGTCGCCGATGCAGCTCGGTGTGGAGCCCGATTTTCTCCATGCCGACGTCGCCGATGCATCGCCGATTTATCGGCGATGCTTAGGCTATGCTGCGCGATCCTCAGACCCCATCTGGTCGGACCCCATCTGGGAGGCCTCTCGTTCCGCCGATCCAGGCTTGATCGGGCAGCTGATCGGGCCCCGAGTGAAGGCTGGTGGCGGTCCAGGATCAGGGCCGCTCGATCGAGCACCCAGGTGCCGTAGGTCTTTCGCCCGGTTGTCGTGCCCCACACTCAGGAGACCCTGATCCGCCGATGGGGGCTCGACCTGTCCACAGGTCGGGCCCTGAATCAAGGGCCGCCACGGGCGCGAAGCTATTCGCGTATCGCGGTTTACGGGGTCTGCTCCAGTCCTCCTCGTTCCCCATCGTCCTCCTCCTAGCACAACCTAATTATTAGTACCAAAACCAGACGAGGATACCGAACGAGGAGAGGTCGAAATACGCGTGCACTGCAATTCGAGAATAAAGAGACAGGCGACGCAAAGAGCGTAAAGTAGCGATCTAAGATCGAGAGTGTGAAGTGCATTTCTTTTAGCTGATTGTATGTCCCTAGTATGCTATCAGTTCGAACGGTGCGGCCACGCCCTGTTGAGCAGGGGGGCCTGACATGCAACTATGAGTGTCTTATTCTCCCCAGCCATCCCAACCGACCCCCTCCTGAACAAGCCGACCTCCCCCATCCCAGTAGTCAGGTGAGCACGCTTGATCTGGAAAGTATGGACTAGGCCTGGATGTGCTGGCATGGCTGAAGACACTGAGAGCACTGGTAGGCTGGCCAGGCGGTACTTGCTGAGCTTGGCAGTGTGAGTTAAACTTGGACGGGTGAAGTAATGCATGCGATGGCTGGTTGCGGTAAAGATAGCTGCTAGCGGTCTGAGCGGTGGGGCCACGCCTTGTTGAAGGGTGGCCTGACAGGCAACTGTGTGTGTTTGTCTTAAATGCTGTGCCCATCGTATTACCTCCTCCTCCTCCTCCTCCTCCTCCTCCGTCTCCTCCTCCTCCTCCTCCTCCTCCTCCTCCTCCTCCTCCTCCTCCCCTTCTCCCCCAGGGGCGGCGCAAGAGCCCTCGGACAGCTCGAGAGCGCGAGCCTAGCTGGCTTTGCCGAGCGGGTCGCTGATCGGGCCCCGAGCGAGGGCGTGTGGCGGTCCAGGGCGTGGGCTTAGCGATCGAGCGGGGCCGCTTCGCCGCTCTGCTCCGGCGCCAGGGAGGGGCCGGGGAAGCGCAGAGCTCGACCCTGCCTGGAGCCCAGGTTGCCGGCGTTTTCGTTGCTCGGTTTGCGTGTGCAAAGGCTTGAGGCCGGCGCAGGGGGAGGGGGGGTAATTTGTGCTCTTGTACGAGTTCGCTCTAACTCTCTCTCTCTCTCTCTCTCTCTCTTTCTTCCAAGCCACGATTCACCTCATGAGTTCGCCTATCGCAGGTCGTCGGCTCGTGGATTGTACCCTGTTTGCCTGGTGGCTCGTTGAATCGCCTGGCAGTTGAGACCGTGCAGTGCGGAGGCGGGTCTCCTTTGTTTGTTTGAAGAAATGCCGACGTTTTTTGAGGTCCCGACATGAATTCTGACGACCAAGTTTTCAGGAGATGTGTTTAGAAAAGGGCGAGTTGCGAAAACGGTATTTGGCCGTCGGGGAGGGTTCTCGTCGCAGGGGCTGGACTCATCTCGGAAAGCAGGTGCGTTTGGACCCTGGGAGGGACCCGGGAACAGGGTTTGAGCTGGTTTTGTCTCAGCTGGCCCTGCTCCGATGTTGAGGGTCCCGACATGAATGATGGCCCAGTTCTCGCGGGATGTTTGCAGCAGGCGAAAGTTTCAGACTGGGTCCTGCCATTGTTCTGACAGCCCCGTCTACTCGTGTCCCCCAAAAGCGCGTCTCGCGTCTCCCCGACGGGAAACGGGTCCTGAGGAAAACACGTCCCAGACCCTGGAGCGTTCCCCAGGACCATCTCGTTATCCCAGGGAAGTATATAGTTTTGACCCCCCCCCCCCTGGAGCCCTCGGCGGTGAATAAACTGGCCCTCCCTCCTCCCTCCCTCCTCCTTCTCCTCCTCCTCCTATTGCTACTCCTTTTGCTAGGGTCAATATGTTTTCTTGCAAGCACTGGCGAGGCATAACTTATGACACCCCCGGTACCTTAGCTGAGAGGAGGAGAGGGAGGAGGAGGAGGTTGAGGAGGAGGAGGAGGAGGAGGAGGAGGAGGAGGAGGAGGAGAGGGAGGAGGAGGAGGAGGATGAGGAGGAGCAGGAGGAGGAGAGGAGGAGGAGGAGGAGGAGGGGGAGGGGGAGGAGGAGGATTGTGCTAGGATTGTGCTACTTAGGACTTACGCAGATGGAAAGCACCACGCAAGCCGCCTCACGCCTTGCAAGCCGTACTTACATAGGCGTTCCTGGTGAATGGCCGCACTCCCATAACGAATCAGTCTACCCTTGGCCGTTCTCGTTCGGGATGGTGGATACCTCCTTCACAATACCGTCCACTTACACTGACCGTCAGAAAAGCTTGGCCTAAAACACGGCTGACACGCCTGACAGTCCTTGCTGCCACTGCCTGTCTTCCCCTCCTCGCACGAGTTGATGCCAGCGTTGTAGCTAAGATATTGGGCTCCAGCTACGCCCCCCACTTCTCGCACGAAACTTGCCCAGAGCCTTCGACTAAATTGGGCTCCAGCATCACCCCCCGCTTCCCGCAAGAGGCTTCTCACAGAGCTCCCGCCGATACTGGGCTCTAACTTCGCCCCCCACTTCTCGCAAGAGGTTGGCCCTGAGCTCTCGACACTAGTGGGCTCCAGCTTCGCCCCCCGCTTCTCGAAAGAGGCTTGCCACAGAGTGCCCGACAATATTGGGCTCCAGCTTCGCCCCCCGCTTCTCGCAAGGTGCTTCCACTGACTCCCAGCCCTTCCGCACGCGAGCTGGTGCCCGCACGCTTTCTCGCAAGGAAAGATACCGGCGTTGTAGCTGATGACCCTCACCTGCGTTCGCCGTGCCACAGTGCCAGAAGCTGCCACTGGTCGCCTTCTCGCAAGAGCCCACACCTGCTTTGTAGCTGGCTTCCCGCTCCCGCGTTCGCCCGTCGCGCCATGCTGGATGAGAGCACTGCGCTTCTTCTCGCAAGAGCTGATACCAACATTGTAGCTGGGCACCCCGCTCCCACGTTCGCCCTTCTCGCAATGCCGGGTGAGAGCACTGCGCGCCTTGTCGCAAGAGCTGATACCAATATTGTAGCTGATGACTCCGCTCCCACGTTCGCCCTTCTCGCAATGCCGGGTGAGAGCACTGCGCCCCTTCTCGCAGGAGCTGATACCAACATTGTAGCTGATGACCCCGCTCCCACGTTCGCCCTTCTCGCAATGCCGGGTGAGAGCACTGCGCCCCTTCTCGCATGAGCTGATACCAACACTGTAGCTGATGACCCTCTCCTGCGGATGCCTTGGTTCCGGTCTCACCTCCGCCTCGCGGAGCACAGCCAGAGCCTGATGCCACTGCTGGTCCTTCTCGCACGCGTCGATACCAACGCTGTAGTTAAGGACGTCTGGTTCCAGTCTCACCTCCATCTCGCGGAGCACAGCCAGAGCCTGCTGCCACTTCCCGCCGTTCTCACACGCGCCGACTGTAGCGCTGTAGTGAAAGACGTCGGGCACCAGCTTCACCTCCGCCTCACCCAGCCAGAGCCTGCTGCCACTGCCCACCCTTCTCACACGCGCTTCTTTCGGCGCTGTAGCTGAGGACGGCGGGCTGTATCCCTACTCTCTCCCGCTCGCGGAGTCGGGCCAGAGTCTGCTGCCACTTCTCGCACTTCTCGCACATGCTGATTTCAGCGTTGTGGCTGAGGAAGGCGTCGGGCCCCTGCGATTCTTGGGTTGTGCGCTGAAAGGCATCACCCCTGCTTGCCAAGAGGAGGAGGATGGGAAGGGGGAGACGGACGGGGAGAGGGCGAAAGGAAGGGGAGGCGTCTTGGCGGCCCCGCATGCGCCTATTCGCGGCGCCGCCACTGCGGGCGACGGCGTTTATTGATGGCACCATGCTTCTTTACGGCTCCCCGAAGCATCGCCGCTCCGAAGTTTGCGACGGGAACGCCCAGGCGGTCCACGCAGGGACGGGCCGTTCGTGCACGGAACGGCTGGGGAGGAGAAGGAGGAGGAGGAGGAGGAGGAGTCCCTGGAGGACGGTCCTGGGGCCCGCGGAGGAGCCCGGGGCCCCCAAAGCGGAGAGACTTCTCCAGGATCCTTCTCCTGCAGTGGGCACGCGGAGGACCCCTCTCGGCCTGCCAGCGGGTCCCCTGGTGGCCCCAGAGGGACCCCCAGAGGGACTCCCAGCGGGACTCCCGGAAGCTCAGGGGTACCGTCACGATGTGTAATCATATACCATGTATGTATGTATGTATGTATGAATGCATATACGT